ATACTTTGTATAATAATTAATTAATATAAAAGTTAATAAGATTATGGATAGATCGAAACATAACATAATGACATGAAAACMCTAACATGCATGAGCAAGGCAAACCCTTTCAAAAGTTCGATATACTCTCTAAAGGGAAAGGGCAGAGAGAGAAGGAAAAAAAAATTTTGCTAGGTTATGAGTGCTGCCATGCAGATCTCTAACACGGACAGACGGACGAACAGCAAGATGGACATTGCACAAAACCAATATATTCATTTTACTTAACAAAAGTAAAATGAGTATAAAAATTGTATAATTTAAAGTAACATTTGTATCTCGTTATTAAGTTAAGTGGTTAGTAAATCGTCGAAACGAAGAAAATTTCTAAGGTTTCAACTTATTCCATTGTAAATAACAGATTGATTAATACAATTATTTATATTTTGTTCTCAGAATAACAAACGATGCAAGAGAAGATGAAATGGAAGAAAATATGGGCCAGGTTAATACCATGATAGGTAATCTCCGGAATATGGCGTTGGATATGGGCTCCGAGCTGGAAAATCAGAACCGTCAAATTGACCGAGTTAATCGCAAGGTACATTACATTATAAATACGCATAATACGTATTCCAGAGAAAATAATTTGTTTTCATGATACTTTCTGCAAAAAAAAAAAAATCAAATGAAGTTTACATATACTGCTGGTCTTGGATTAGACGAACTGGTACTTTCGTTAATATTTGCTTTATAACTTTTATTTGGAAAGCAATTGCCCGACTACGAGATCCCCTGAACCCTTCGAGCAACTGATATTTCAACAAGTAAGAACGTTGCAGTCAGGCGTTACCGACTGCGGAATACTCATTCACATCCCATCAGCAATTTAGTAGCTCAGTTTCGCCTTAATACTGTAGAAAATGCAGTTTTTCCCGATTTGGCACGCCCCTACTGGGCGTAGACACCTCATTTTTGGTCAGTTCTTAGAACGAGATAACGGTACCCTAACTGAAAAATTTGAATGCTTACGCTAAAAAATGTGAAAATTACAGAGTATTTTTCGATATGCCACGCCCCTAAAGAGGCGTAAAAATTATTTTTGAATCACTCTCTAAATTTGAAGCTTTTAGCTATTATATTTTAGGATATATAAACTTTTGCGGTTTGCCACGCCCCCTGTGGGTGGACATATATCCGACAAAACTTTTTGGTCTTGGGTGATCAGCCCGACTATATATACAACATTTGAGGTCTCTGGCATCAATAGTGTCCAAAATATAGCAGAAATTAAAAAATAACTATATCTTTAGGTCCGATTTGCCACGCCCCTGATAGCCGTAGACTTATAATCTTATAATTCACCATATGATTACCTTCTGAAAGATTCATTAAGATTGCATGTCTACCAAGGAAATTATTCAACAAATAAATTCTAATAATATTGCCCACACTGCAGCGCAGCCCAGGCGCAGTCGCTGCTAACTGCGCAGTCAGCAGAGCGCTTGCTTATATGCGTGTGGATGCGTGTGTATTTATGTGTGCATAAAAGAAGTGCAGAATAAGTAGAATATCAGCTTAGAGGGTTCAGGGTATCTCCTAGTCGAGCAGTCTTGACAAGATCCTTCTTACTTGTTTTGGCAATATTTCTGTTACACAGTCCCTGTGAGTGGGAGAAGTCTAAATTTTGACGTTCTCATATTTTTTAATACCACCTGAAAATGATTGAATTATTAATTTTTTTTTTTACCCAACCAAAAAAGCTGAATTTTTTAACATAAAACTTAGAAAATTGATGTGCGCGTAATTCATTGACCAACCGAAAAACCATTTTTTTTCATAGAATTTTCTACAGTCTTCGATTGCACAATTATCTCTTCAAATATAAACAAACTGTGAACAGGTGTTTTTCGAACTAGACTCCAACTTTCATATACAAACAAGTAAGAAGACTCTAGTCGAGACTGCTCGACTAGGAGATACCCTGAACCCTCTAATCTGATATTCTAATCACTCTGCACTTTTCGGCACACATACATACACACGAACGTATTAGAACGCGATCTGCTAACTGCGCAGTAAGCAGCGACTGCGCTAGGGCTGCGCTGCAGTGTGGGCAACATTCTAAGAATTTATTTGTTGAATCTAGACGTACAATCCTAATGAAACTTTCAGAACATAATCATAATATTTAAATGTAGGTATATTCCAAAGCAGAAACACTGGGACTACTTGACTTCTAATCACCCGCGTGTACGTCTTTCTTCTTCTTAACAGCTTGTCTCTACACGTTTTCTTTCATCCACGCCTTCTCAATCACTGACTTCGTCTTTTAATGGAGTTGCCAGCCTGTTGTTATTGTGTAACTAGGGTGCCACACCGCTCGACAACGCTTCTCATGCCACATTACATACATATATATTCTTGATCAGGGCGACGAGCTGAGTTGATTTGGCCCTGTCCGTCTGTCTGTCTGTCCGTATGTTTGAACGCGTCGATTTCCGAAGATATAAGAGCTAGAGACTTCAAATTTTTATCTTAAATGTTCGTACTTACAGCGCGGATATCGAGTTTATCATAAAAAATCGATAACTCATCCCAATCTTTTTTTATTGATAAAAAACCTTATCGAAAACCAGTTACAAAATTATATCTTCTACACCTTTATTGGTAGAGTCTCCAAATTATAATTTTAATGTATGCTTATATACAATTTTTAACAATTTCGGTTTTTGTTAAAATTTACCCTCCACCCTTATANTGGCTCGTTGTCGACTAAACTCTCAAAAAGTCCAATGAAATTCTTATATTCCGAATATTCTCCGCTAAACTTTGGCAGCTTTATATTCGGTAGATTCCTAGAATGTGACACTGAGCTAATCATTGTAGAGTTAGCGGGACTCTCACTTTTAGGTTGGCTATCACTACCTCGCTTCATAAGAAGTGCTTTTGTCGATACACACAAATCTTCTAACGTTGACCGAGGCACTAAATCTGCGTTAATGTCGTCCAACTCTTGTTGTGTYTTAAARGCCTTTTCTATGTAGCGGTTCAATATCTCAAGTCGACATTCAATTTCAAATGGCTCTACTGGTTTAGTGTAATCTTCTTAGTGGCAGACAGTGCCAACCAGGATCCCACAGTCGCAGTGAGCAAAAGGTGCTTCTACTGCCAAGCAAGCAAAGGTTGAGAAAGCCTCAACCAAGACCCCACACACCAAGGAAATGAGTGATGATGAAGCTAGCAGCCTGGAGCCAGGGGAAACCAGGAGGAAAGAACCCTTTCGCAAATCCGCGCTTCTAAACTATGTCAACAGTCTTAGCAGAGAGAACCGGTTCTCAGCCCTTTCTGACGATAGCGATAACAACTTGGATGAAGTCGACATGGAAACGACGACGGACCCACTGCCAACCACCTCAGCCACCCAGACTGCACTGGTCAAGGAGATCAAGCCGCCCCCAATTTTCATCCCGAATGTTAGCGACATTAAAGGTCTGATCACTGACGTTGCTCTGGCCATCGGCAACATCAATTTTGACTATAAGTCTGGCAAGGATAGCAGCGTCCGGATAAATCTTCTCGATAAGGAAAGTTTTTCGAAGCTTAAGGCTTACCTTAATGGCAACAAAGTCAACTATAAAGCCTTCCAACCGAAGGACGAGCGAGCTTACCGCATCGTCATAAAGGGGCTCCATCACTCCACAGACCCATTAAGCATTAAGGAAGACCTAGCCACTAAAGGACATACTGTACGTGGGCTCGAAATCAAAAACCCCATCAGACGTACTGCAGTGCTATCGTTGCCAAGGACTCGGCCACTCCCAACGTTACTGCAAGCTACCTCCAAGATGTGTGAAATGCGGACAGGATCACCTCTCAATTGATTGCACTAAGAGTCGTGAAGCCCCGCCCTGCTGTGCTCTCTGCAATGAAAACCATGCAGCCTCTTATAAAGGCTGCAAGGTTTATCAGAAGGCCAAAGAGCTCCACTCGCCACAACCTAGACACATACCCACAACTTCAAGCCGCCCCTCACAGCCTACTGTGCCGGGATGTCGTACGCCAGTAAAGTCCGTGGTCTACAGCAGCCAACACAACAATTTCCACAACAGCAAGGTACACCTCACGCCTCACACACACCCCCTCCCGCCCAAACCAATTCCAGACTGGACCGACTGGAAGCCATGATGGAGAAATTGTTGGACCAATTTGCAGCCATAACGCAACTGCTCACGTCACTTGTGGCCCAGCAATGCAAGTAAATCTCCATATTATCATCTGGAACGCAAACGGACTGTGCAAAAGCAGGCCAGAGTTAGAGCACTACCTGAAAACTAGAAGCGTGGACATCCTCCTCGTCTCTGAAACCCACTTTTCCCACAAATCCTACTTCACCCTAAACGGCTACGACGTTATATCTGTCAACCACCCAAATGGCACTGCCCGCGGAGGAGCGGCTGTCATAATAAGAAGCGGTATAAAGTACATTGAACTGCCAGCTCAACAAGAGGTATGGGTACAGTGCGCCAAGATCAGAGTAATCCGCCCAACTGGTGACATAACAATAGCTGCCGCATATTGTCCACCAAGACATAACATCGGACAAGGCCCATTTCAAAATCTCCTGGACAACCTTGGCCCGAAATTTATAGTTGGAGGCGACTTCAATGCCAAGCACACTTGGTGGGGCTCTCGCACTGCGAATCCCAGAGGCAGAGCGCTGTACAAGTGCATAATAGAGAGCTCTCTCGACACCCACTCTGATGGCCAACCTACTTACTGGCCCACCGACAGTGACAAGATCCCAGATGTGCTGGACATAGCCATTTCAAAAGGAATCCCGAAACACAAAATCGCCACTGGCCAAGCAATCGACTTGTGCTCTGACCACAGTGCTGTCAAACTACTGGTCAATATGCCTGCCTGCACCCACTCCAAGACTAGCAGACTGTTCAAACGTAATACTAATATACAGATATACAAACAGTGGTTACAGAACAGCTTAGATCCAGAGCTCGCAATAACAACTAACGCCGACCTGGACTGCGCCGTCGAGAAACTCAACATTGAAATTCACAACGCCGTTTCTCACGCCACTCCTCTGTCTAGACCCCATAAAAGAGTGCCTCATAGGGACATCCACCTCTGGTCGCCAGAAGTAGCTGCTCTGGTTGCCGAGAAAAGGCGCCTCCGTCGTAACTGGCACAACTCTCGCAACCCCAGGGACAAAACAGAGCACAACAGAGCTGCAAAAGCACTCAAGGAGCTGCTCTACTACCTGAGAAGGCAATCCATCAACCAGTTCCTAGAAGAAGTGGAGCCAGGACACCCCCAACATGACCTTTGGAGCATCACTAAAAACATCAAAAGGCCAACGACCAAAAATGAGCCAGTTAAGCGAGCAGATGGAACGTGGTGCAGATCAGACAGCGAAAGAGCAGCGGCATTTGCCACCCACCTATACGATGCCTTCACCCCATTTACAAGGTACTCTAACGAGGACGAAAACACGACAGTGGACTTCCTTGACATTCCCTGCCAGATGGCTCCCCCAATTCCCGCAGTCACCACAGAAGAGCTGTCATTAGAGATCCGCAAGCTCAAAGCATCCAAGTCGCCTGGATATGATGGAGTCGATGTACCTGCCATTAAAGCTCTACCGCAGTCTGGTCGTGAATTTCTACTCAACATAGTCAACAAATGCTTTCAGTTAGGACATTTCCTCACCCAGTGGAAATGCGCCGAAATCATCCTGATCCGAAAACCTGGGAAACCTGGAGCTAATCTCGCCTCATATCGCCCGATAAGTTTATTGGCGGTACTCTCCAAAGTAGTCGAGAGATTACTTCTGCGTAGAGTTCGCCCAATACTGGAAGAGGCCGGTCTGATCCCCCATCACCAGTTTGGCTTCAGGGWATGTCACGGAACACCAGAGCAATGCCACAGGATCGTYGAGAAAATACTGGAGGCWTATGAGGAAAARAAGTACTGCGCTGCGGTGTTTCTGGACGTCAAACAGGCTTTCGACAGAGTCTGGCACACAGGTCTGCTCTTTAAACTCAAGGCAGCTCTTCCCGCACCGTACTACATGCTCCTTAAATCTTTTGTTGTCGGCAGAAGTTTTTACGTAAAATGTGGCGACGAAAAATCCGACATCAGACAGGTTAGAGCCGGAGTCCCCCAGGGAAGCGTATTGGGCCCAGTGCTTTACACGCTCTACACCGCTGACATGCCCATCGTCCCGGACGCCAGACTGCTAACCGCCACCTACGCAGAWGACACAGCCTTTCTAGCCAGCGACTCATCACCACAAATCGCTTCCAACATACTGCAAAGGCAGCTCGACCTAGTCAACACATGGTTGACTAGGTGGAATATAATGGTCAATGCCGAAAAATCCACTCACGCAACTTTCGCACTAAGAAGAGGAAACTGCCCCCCGTCCAGCTAGACGGCTCCACTATCCCTGAAAGCGTAACAGCAAAGTACCTAGGCCTCATTTTCGACAGAAGACTCANTTTACAACTTTACGAGATACAGTTTTAGCCGACTTGCCACGCCCCCAATAGGCGGAGATATATCCGCCATAACTCATGATCTTGGGGGGTCGACGCGGACCTACATAGCAAATTTCAGCTTTCTAGCTCTTCAACTAACATGATTTCTGGTATATCGGAAAATGCATTTTCCGATCGAGAAAATTTTAACACTTTATAAATCGGAGATATACACGAGTATGTGTTCCAAATAGATTGCGTTGATACGGACAGACGGACAGACGGACGGACGGACAGACGGACAGGCAGCAAGACGGACATTGCACAAAACCAATATTCACTTTCGTGAATGATTATAAAAATGCAGCCTCTTATAAAGGCTGCAAGGTTTATCAGAAGGCCAAAGAGCTCCACTCACCACAGCCTAGACACACACCCACAACCCCAAGCCGCCCCATGCAACCTACTGTGCCAGGGACATCGTACGCCAGTAAAGTCCGTGGGCAACAGCAGCCAACACAACAAGTTCCACAATAGCAAGGGATACCTCCCTCTACACACACCTCACACACACCCTCTCCCGCCCAAACCAATTCCAGACTGGACCGACTGGAAGCCATGATGGCGAAAATGTTGGACCAATTTGCAGCCATAACGCAACTGCTCAAGTCACTTTTGGCCAACAATGCACATAAATCTCCATATTATCATCTAGAACGCGAACGGACTGTGCAAAAGCAGGCCAGAGGTAGAGCATTACCTGAAAACTAGAAGCGTGGATATTCTCCTCGTCTCTGAAACCCACTTTTCCCACAAATCCCATTTCACCCTAAGCGACTACGACGTCATATCTGTTAACCATCCAAATGGCACTGCCCGCAGAGGAGCAGAAGTTATAATAAGAAGCGGTATAAAGTACATTGAACTGCCAGCTCAACAAGAGGTATGGGTACAGTGCGCCAAGATCAGAGTAATCTGCCCAACTGGTGACATAACAATAGCTGCCGCATATTGTCCACCAAGATATAATATCGGACAAGGCCTATGCCAAAATCTCCTGGACAACATTGGTACGAAATTTAGAGTTGGAGGCGACTTCAATACCAAGTACACATGGTGGGGCTCTCGCACTGCGAGTCCCAGAGGCAGAGCGCTTTACAAGTACATAACAGAGAGCTCTCTCGACACCCACTCTGATGGCGAGCCTACTCACTGGCCCACCGACAGTGACAAGATTCCAGATGTGCTGGACATAGCCATCTCAAAAGGAATCCCAAGACACAAAATCGTGACGCAATCGACTTGTGCTCTGACCACAGTGATGTCAAACTACTGGTCAGTATGCCTGCCTGCACCCACTCCAAGAGTAGTAGACTGTTCAAACGTAACACGTAATATACAGCTATACAAACAGTGGTTACAGAACAGCTTAGATCTAGCGGTCGCAATAACAACTAACGCCGACCTGGACTGCGCCGTCGAGAAACTTAACATTAAAATGCCGTTTCTCACGCCACTCCTCCTTCCAGATCCCACAAAAGTGTGCCTCATAGGGACATTCACCTCTGGTCGCCGGAAGAAGCTGCTCTGGTTGCCGAGAAAAGGCACCTCCGCCGTAACTGGCACAACTCTCGCAACCCTAGGGATAAGACAGAGTTCAACAGAGCTGCTTAAGTACTCAAGGAGCTGCTCTACTACCTGAGAAGGCAATCAGCAAAAACATCAAATGGCCAACGACCAAAAAAGAGCCAGTTAAGCGAGCAGATGGAACGTGATGCAGATCTGACAGCGAAAGAGCAGCGGCATTCGCCAACTATCTACACGATGCATTCACCCCTTTTACAAGATGCTCTAACGAGGATGCAAACGCGTCAGTGGATTTCCTTGACATTCCCCGTCAGATGGCTCTCTCAATTCCTGCAGTCGCTGCAGAAGAGCTGTCATCAGAGATAAGAAAGCTCAAAGCATCCAAGTCGCCCGGATATGATGGAGTCGATGTACCTGCCATTAAAGCCCTACCGCAGTCTGGTCGACAACTTCTCCTCAACATTTTCAACAAATGCTTTCAGCTAGGACATTTCCCCACCCAGTAGAAATGCGCCGAAATCATCCTGATCCGAAAACCTGGGAAATCTGGAAGCAATCTCGCCTCATA